TATTTTTATCAAAGGAATAAAAAACATTAATTTTTTGAAAAATTGAATTTGGTTAGCCACTAAATCCTTCCTGTGGGCACGAAAACGTCTTTGTTCTAGATACGTTCCTAAAACGTTTTTAGAACGTTTTCTGTTTTAAAATCGTTTTTAGAACATTCGACGTTCCTAAGCCGTTATGTAGCGGACATGAAACGTTCAGAACGTTTCAAAAACGTTTTCAGAACAAAGACGTTTTCGTGCCCGCAGGGCTATTAATTACAAAAATACTGTTATTCACTGTTATCTCACTTGCTTTTTTTATTTCATTTTGGAAATCACAAATAGATTTCAAATACCGAAGGTAAAATAGAAAAAGGAATTAAAAAATGTAACGATTACATTAAGTTATAATTAACATTTATTATAAATTTTTATTATATTACATTCTGTGGACTTGTTAATATATTTTGCTACTTGCAGCAAGTTAATAATCGGATGTAAGGCACGATTCATCAATTTGCTCTTTATTAATATCTGTTTCTAGAAATTTAGGAGAAGTTTTATTTTCACTTAATACTAAATAGTTTTCTGTTGACGAATCATCAACATTTAGGGTGATTTCTTTAGTATCAAACATATCCCAATTTCTGACATTGTAAAAAAATTGTATTGTTTTTCAAAACTGAATAGATTTTGTTAGACAAATCAGCGCCATTGAAGGTAATTTTTGGTATTTGAGAGTAAAGAGCATCTGATTCTTTAATAATTCGAGTTTCATTATACTGATAATCAATGTAATTTACTGACAATAATTTTTGCATCCAACCCATCGTCTTTACCAAATATTTGATAAAATCATTTTCCTCATTTTCAACAATACTTTTCATATTAGAAATGTAATTAGATTTTGATCAATGACTTTTAGCATGTCGTCAATATAATTTATTTTTAAAAAGCAGAAGAATTTAAGAAACTTAAAAATTTCTTTATTACTACAAAGAGTTTCTAAATTAGTTTTGTCTTCTGTATTTATTGAGATTATGTTTGTATAAGTAGAAATTAGTAAATCATCAAAGTGAAAAGCATCGTTAAATTTAGTGATACTAAAATTTATATCGGTTCTATTATTCAATTCCCGCAATTATAAGCACGGCAAATCTCTAAATAAATAGTTTGTATCATAAGAATTTATTTGTTCTTTTAAAAGAATATAAAAGTGCTTAGAGTATTCAATGGAACCATGGACTTTATTATGTGAATCGTAATTATTAACGAACTCTGACAATTTATTGTAAAAGGAAGTATATAATAAAGAATAGTTAGGAAATTTCTTAACAAATTTTTGATGTACTTTAATTAAATATGAGGGACTTATATAGCGCGTCTTACAATTGCCTGAAGCTACGTCACAAGAATCTGGTAGAGCAGAAATAGCCAAATCATTATAATTAAGACCAATTCGTTTACCAAAAGAAAATAAATTTTTAAAGTTTACTAGATAAAATACAACTTTAGAATAATCACTAATCATCTTGTATTCAAAATAGACAATCAATGAGATTTTATTTCTGTCGGCGGTCATTGGATAGACATAATAATAAATATCATTGGAACCAAATAAATATGTTTCATTATTACATCGTACAGAAAATGTTCTGAATGAAGAAGATCTTTTCGCCTTACTTTTGGTTTTACTCAAAGAGTAGATCATCAATTGTTTTCCAATGTTTGTAAATATTGCTTCTGTGATTATAAGCCAAAAATAATACATTTAAAAAAATTACCTTAAATTGATTTTTGCAACAATTTTTTAAATTTTTCAGTGAATTTTTGAATGGTGGCCACCTTGGGGCCACTTTTTTGGAAAAGCAAAATTTCAGCTGTTTTTCCAAAGTCGCATAAATTTTATTTTCCTTCGTAATATAAAAAAATTTTTTTGCGAAAAAGTTAGCTAAAGAAGATACCTAAAGTTTCAGGGCGTATATTATATTTCACATTGTCTATTATTTCAAAATATTAAAATAAATTTTTAAAAAATTTCATTTTTTTTGATAATGATAAAAAAGCTATTAATTTTATAAATATCGTGAGGATGTAAAAATATGTAGAAAAAATTTGCAAAATTTCATTTATTAGAGATAAACAAATTTTGAATACTCAATTTAACAAATTTATTTTTCGATATAAATATTTTCAAAAATTACTGAATTTCATTAGAAGAAGAGCATTTAGAAATTAAACTTTTTAGAAATACAAAAATTAGAATATGAAATATTAAATAATAGTTTTTAGAAAAATTCTACTTCAAATCGTAGCGGTAGAAGCAACAGAAAGAAAGCGTTTTTTATTTCTTAAAAAAGATAAATATTAACTTTTCACGATTTCTTGATAAATTTAATTTGCACATAATAAAGTTTCAACCTAGATTTAAGTTAAAAATTCATTGTTATATTAGATTTAGGAGTACTTTTGTTCGAAAGGGCATGTCCCGTTATGTTTCTTAAATAAATAAATAAATATTCTTTTGTAAATTTCCAGAAAATTATTACATTTTTAACAAAATTCTTTTATCGAATTTTTATATTTTTGACATTAAATCTTATCATTTATGAAAAATTCAAGTAACATATATACCTATGAAGTTAAGATATCATTTATAAAAAATTTTTAATTATTTTAAAATGTATTTTATAAAAAGAAGAAAATCTAATTTTATGGTAATGCACAAAGGGGCATTTTTTAATTGTAAGCCCGTTCATGATTAAATAAATTAATAAATAAATAAAATCTTATTTCAATTCTTGTTGAAATAATGCAATTCTATTAAAGCTCAGATCAATACAATTTTATTTCAATTAATAATTAATATTAATAATTATATTATTTTATAAGTATATTATTATATTATTATATTATTATATTATTATATTATTATATTATTATATTATTATATTATTATATAATTATATTATTATATTATTATTAATAATATAATAATCCTATACCTATTAAAATAGGATTTTATCAACATGATGCATTGGAAGACCATGTTTGATTTTCTTGTGAATATTTTTTCCTTCAACACTTGCACTGTTATATTGAAATAGAAAAATACATGCTTATATACGTAAAAAATCATAAAATATAATCAATTTTTTTAACAACTTTAACTTTATCACATTTTTACTTTTCATCTCTAAAACTTGTTTTGCGCTTTGCAAAAATTAATTTGAAACAAAAAGAAGTAAATAGATTATTAATTTTTTATTATTTATTGGTGGTATTAATATTTAGCTAATTTAGCTAATGCAATGCTAAACGTGGTCAATTGCGATTGGTTTAAATTTTGCTGTGGTAATTATTTCAAAATTTTCTATTATCTTTCATATATTTCAATGATAAATTTAACACATTTTTTTTATTATTCTGAACAATCAGTTGCGTAAATGGTATGAATTTTGAAAACTGTTAACTCTGCAGTTAATATTTTTAAAAAATTATAATTGGTTGAAGAAAATATTCTGAAAATCTTCATAATACAAAATTATTTTATATTTTATTTATATATTATTAATAATTCAAATATTTTGATATTTCTTGATTAAAATTAATCCTTTTGTAATAATAACAAATTTTAATTGAAAAAAGTAAAAATCTTTTATGTTTTGAACTTTTTTAGTTTGCCAATAACGTTTAAAATTTTTAAGTTTAAAAGATAATATTTTTTGCTCTTTATTAATTACTGTTTTGTAACATATAGATAAAAAAATTCTTTTCTTTTATTATTAACTACATACACGGAGAAAAATAAGTAGATTATACTATTTTCGATGAGAAATTACTACTTTCAAGTAGTAATTTTGAAACTGCTCAAAAATAGTAATTTTTGCTTGGTTTTCAAAGAATTTTTACTTTTTTAAGAAAGTATACTTTCCCTAGCGGAATACTTTCGTAAACTTCACTGCGACTCATGTGAAAAATTTACTGACATTAATAACAAGAACTTACGCACAATAGACAGATGCCGCTAGTGAGAAAAAACAAAATAAACGCGATGTCTCAACCTTGACTACTCTCCCCTATTTTATTTTTTATTATAAATGTTTTAATATTCTATATTATAAACATTCTAATGCTTTATTAGTATTCGTATTTTTATTTTTTTATATATTCGTAATATTTATGTATAGTATCTTCATATAATAAAATATTAGGAATTCATTTTTACAAATTAAATTTCTTTTGTAATTTTAAAGTTCTAATATTATTAGTCTATAAATTTAAGTATTTTATGTCCTTAAAAAATTAAACATGAAAAACGAATGTGGAAAATTTTAACGGAAACCTTCTAAAAAATCGACATAAATTTTAGTAATCTTTTTCTATTTTTGAACGCACTTGTATTTAAATGAAAGATATATTTAAATCTAGAAACTATGCAATATTTGTTATACTTTACAATAGAAAAGTAAATTTTTAAAACTTATCTTATGGATCTAAATCAACAAAATAGAATAAACATAAAATATAATTGAGGGGCTGGATATGCTGTAAGTAGATCCGCGCCATTTACTTAACATTCCACGTATCCCCTAATAGCATCTAGCTCCTCAATTATTAAAAATTATTTAAGCGTAAAATTATGTTGACCTTTAATAATGTATTACTAAATTCAGCTTCACTTTATTTAAATATATATGCAAATTAGAATCAGAAATAGAACTAGATAAACAAAAATTACATATATAAATACAGACCCTTTATTTTTAGTGTTGGAATTAAGTTATTTTGTAAAACACATTGCTATTCTCATCGCGGTAACAATTAATATTTTTTACTTACTTACATTTTTACATTTCTAAAAAATAAAAATTGAACGTAAATATATTTTTAGGATAGTGGTTTTATAATCAGTAACGTTATTATTTTTAATTATACAATGATTTATATTTGTATATTACTTTATGCACTCCTGGCACAATTTACTTATACCTTTCAAAATTTGACTGATATTAAGAGCGATGAACGATTCTCTAGACCACCAAGAGGAGGTAAATTATTATTTCATTAGAATTAATTATACAGAAAACAAATCCAGACATTGAAATGCTTGTAAAAATTGTACATTTAGAGTATAATGCTTAAAATTGGTAAAAACACATTTTTGACAATCATATGCGTAATTGTCATTAGACTGTGATAATGCAAGCACAAAAACCACACTTTTAGTGATGACTAACTGAATGTGTTTTTTTTCTTCCAAATTGAACAAAATTTTTTTACATGGAGAAAAAGTTGTATGACCTTAGTATAAAAAAATGAATGATTGATAATTAAACATTAATTTGTTTATTAAAATTACATTCTAGAATGGTATTATTGACTCCGACAAAGTGATAATTCCAAATAGTAATTTCATGCGTCAACATCGTGATGTTCAATCAGAGAAATTTTACCAACCTGAGAACGACAGTAACAAAAATTATCACAGAATTTATAAACGAGCAGTAACTGATATCCACAGCAATATTAGTAGAGTTATGCACAATTATAATGAAACAAGAAATAACTCTAATTTAAATCCTCCTTATGCAGTTTTTCCAGAAATTTTAGTATATGTAGATAAAACTCTTCTACGGCAAGTTTTCACTGTATTTTAAATTATTCTTAAAAATTAAATTTATATTTAACTACAAATTAGCAACAATTAATTTCTTATTTTAGACAGTTCGGTTACGATTATGTCAAAACTGTTGCTTATATCCTAACTCTATGGAATGGAGCTGATCTTAGTTTCCGAGAATTGAAAAAACCTCATGTCCGTTTAAACATTGCTGGAATTGTTTTATGTTTGGTAATTACTCTTATAATATTAAAAAAATTTTGTAAATGAAAACACAAATGAAGCAGAATTTATTTTTATGATTAAAAATGTTAAAATCTTAATTCTACAAAGATAAAATATATTATTTCAAATAAATATATTTTTTACAAATAAAGGATCAAATTGTACCAATTAATCAGTTTGTAACACGTGATACATTACAAAAGTTTAGTACATTTATGTATAATGAAGACCAGTTTGTACTCAAAAGGGATTACGATATTGCTGTTTTGATGGGTACAGATCCAGATCTTCATGAGGCCGAAATTGGTTTGACATTTTTCTTAATCTTTTGATTTATTTAAATTTAAATTATTAATTTTTACTAACAAAGACAAATGTTTTTAGGTTTCGCATTTGATGCAGGTAGTTGTAAAAAAATGATTTAAATAAGTTAATAGAATCGACTGCTATAATTTTAGACAATACTATATTCTCTGGAATACACACAGCTGCACGTGAATTAGGTCATTTGTAAGTATGTTTAACATAAATAATAATTAATATTCATCATTTTAAAGATTATACAGCCTCACAAAAAAAGTGTCATGTACTTTTGACCGAAATACCCTAGCACTATGTATTTTGACGCGCTGAACACGAATACGAAGTCCGTTTTGCTCCATCACGTCACGATTTTTTTCTAACCTCAAAAAACATGTCGAATTTTGAGAGGTAGGCGATTTTTATAAAAATTGATGTATTTACTTCAAACTTGGTATCTAGGGGTTTTTTGTGTCGCTGATTACGAATCTGAAGTTAGATTTCCAATATTCAAAATGGCGGATCGAATATGGCGGACGAATTAAAAAAATCATATTAAGATTTACTTCAAACTTGGTATCTAGAGGTTTTTTGAGTAGCTGATTACGAATCCGAAGTTAAATTTTCAAAATTCGATATGTCTGATTCAATATTAAGGAATTATTTTTAAAAAATTGTCATATTTTTATGAAATTTGGTATCTACAGGTTTTTTAAGTTGCTGAGTGTGATTTCGAAACGAGTTTCTCACATTTTCAAATATGGCTTCTATTAAAATTTTTTCATAAAATATTCCTTGGTAACAGATTGGATATGTTTGGTGCAGAAGCCAAATAAGAAAGTGCATTGTTCCATTCAGCATCTTATTCCTAATGGACATATCATTGTCGGGGACGTTAGAGTGCGATACCGTAGTGTGTCCGACGACGAGTTGACATTGTCCTCGTCAAAGTCAAAAAACTCTCATACTTAGACCTGGGGAGGTATGAGAGTTATCACGCCTAGAACGGTGGACTCGCCTGCGATCGAACCAGGATTCCTAAAGTGCGGGTTATTTAATAAATCATGGCTCTTAAAAATCAAAAAAACACAAAAACTTCAAATGCTTCAAAAAGTAATTTTAAAGCGTTAACGTCAAAACACATATGCAACAGCAATGCAGATTCATTTTGTTATATATGTGGAGAGTTCGATATTCCAAAGAATTGTAAACCAATCAATGACAATATTAGACAAATTAACAAAGATTGAAATACTTAAAAATTTTACACAAGAAGAACTCAGCAATCTCATCAGAGACTTAAAACTATCAAAAGATGGTGCAGAATATTTTACATCAGTTCTTTCAAAATGCTATCGAAAGGAACTACAGCTTCCTTTAATCGCGATAGGGAAAAGGAATTCAAAAATTTTTTTACACAAGACAAAAGGCAGTCATTGGTATATTGTTCTGACGTTGATGGGTTAATGGATCAATTAAAACCTGGTGTATACAAAGATGAAGATTAGAGGTTATTCATAGACTTTTCTAAAAGAAGTTTAAAAGCAGTATTACTTCATAATACTAATATTTATGGTTCGATTCCTATGTCTCATTTTACACAGCTTAAAGAAAGCTATGAATCTGTAAAACTAGTTTTAAAAATTAATTTTAAAAATTAAATATTAAGAACACAACTGGCAAATTTGTGGGGATTTTAAGATTTTAAGCATTATTCTTGGATAACAAGCAGGTTTCACCAAAACACCCTGTTTTGTGTGTGTGGGATAATAGAGATAGAAAGTATCATTACAAAAAAAAAAGAATGTCCCAAAAGAGAATCTTTTAAACCAGGATCGAAAAATATCATTATGAAGCCATTGATTGATCTCTCAAAGGTATTGCTTCCACCATTGCACATTAAACTAGGAGCAGCAAAATAGTTTGTTAAGAGTTTAGATAAGAATGGAAAATGTTTTAAATACCTAGAACAAAAATTCCCTAAGATCTCTGATGCCCAACTAAATGAGGGAGTTTTTGATCGTCCACAAATTCGAAAATTGTTGAAAGATGAAAAATTTGTCACTAACATGAGTAAAACTGAGAAAAATGCATGGCTTAGTTTTAAATTAATTGTTGAAAATTTTCTGGGGAATAAGAAAAGCGAGAATTGGGAAGAAATGGCAAATAATATGATAACAAACTTTGGAAAGCAAGGATGGTTGATGAGCTTGAAGCTACATTTCTTAGAATCACATCTAAATTACTTCGCGGAAAATTTAGGAGACTTCAGTAAGGAACAGGGAGAGCGATTTCATCAAGACCTTAAAGAAATGTGGCGTAAATATGATGGCCAACTTTTGCTGGATGCTGAAAAGGGATGTTGTGCACTAAGATGCTTTAATGCTGTCCTTATGGTTTAATGGAATTTTAAAAAATCGTATGATTTCTGTCAAAATGTTTTCAGTTTATGACATGAGTAAACATTCGTATGTCATGAATTAAGATTTTTTGATAGAAATGAAATGACCTATCAAAATTTCGTTAAACCAGAAAGATAGCATTAAAGCATTTGGGTGTACCAGGTGGTGTCTTCAGATTTGCAATCAGCGACACCACAAACCCCTAGATACCAAACTTGATGTAAATCTTAATATTTTTTAAAAATTCATCCGACTTATTGGAGCCGCCATTTTGAATTTTGAAAATATGATTTAAGATTTGTAAACAGCGACCCAAAAAACCTTTAGATACCAAGTTTGAAGTAAATCTTAATATGTTTTTTTTAATTCAGCCACCATATTTGATCCGCCAATTTAAATTTTGACAATTTAATTTCGGATTCGTAATCAGCGACTCAAAAAACACCTAGATACCAAGTTTGAAGTAAATCTTAAATTTTTTTCAAAATGCGTCCGCCATATTGGATCTGCCATTTTGAATTTTGAAAATCTTACTTCAGATACCTACCTCTCAAAATCTAACATGCTTTTTGAGGTTAGAAGAAAATCCTGACGTGATGGAACAAAATGGACTTCGGATTCGTGTTCAGCGCGTCAAAATACATAGGGCTAGGGGATTTCGGTCAAGAGTACATGACACTTTTTTTGTAGAGCTGTGTTATTAAATTTCATATGACAAAATGTTTGCATTTTGTTTCGATAATTATAGTAATAATGTACATTACAATTTTAATCTATTAGGTTTGGAGCACCTCTTGATGGTGACTCTTCAGTTAAAACTTTGTTGAGTGCACCAGAGGCAGCAGATTGTTCTTTTGAAGATGGTTACCTGATGAGTAATAAAAGTTTTGATCAAAAACAATTTTACTTTTCCACCTGCACTAAAAAGATAATGACCTACTTCTTTAGGTATGTCGGGTACAAATTAAAACTTATTTCTTTATAATGAATTTAACGCATGATAAATACTTTTCGTAATTTTCGAAGTAATTTTCTCTGAAACTTAATTAATACTCTTTTGCAATTTTTTATTGACGCACTTATTAATAATATTGGATATTCTAATTGCACAAAAATTCTTCCAAAGCAATTCCGAAGAAGTAGCAAAAAAGTAACATGTTCATATTTTTCCTCAGGCAAAACAGTTCTAGTTGTTTTCATAATAATCCAAAACTTAAGAGAAATGATAAACAAATATTAAGAATATTGCCTGGTAAACACATGACATTAGATCAACAATGCCAAAAAAGGGGATACGCCAAAGCGTATGAAGTAAGTATGCAACAGAAATTAATTTTACAGTTAACTTTGGAGGTATCAAACAGAGTTGCACATGCAAAAGTCTAATGTGAATTAAATGTTATTTGACTTTATATTATGACCTGCTACCTGGTTTTACCTTAATTTATTTTTGCTGTAAACTTTGCGCTGTTAAAATTGAAAAATTATATTTATGTCTTAAATTTTATCTAATTTCAGGTAAATCCTGGTATTTGCTCCAATATAACATGTTTAGTGGACGTTAATAAATTTCAAAGAGAAAAAGCAACAGTTTTTGTAGCAGCACTCGAAGGAACTCCATGTGGTACTGATAAAGTAAGAAGGTTACAAATGCCATTACTATTTTTAACAACAATGAAGCCTCGAATATAACAGATTTTAATAATATGTTCGTTTTCGAATTTTAGTTCTGCATAAGAGGGGAGTGTGTAGAAGTAACATTCATAAAAAGAAGAAAAGATTTAGATGCTAGTATATTATTTCCATCAAATTTACTCGATCTTAAATCATCTACTGCATCTTCTGAAGACATAACTGTTCCCTCAGTCGAAACAACATCTCACAATACAATAGCCACTTTGAATCATACTTCTGAGATCGACACAAATTTAACTGAAAGTGCTACAGCTAAAGTTTATACTTTGCTTACTGCTCCTTCAAATAATACAACTACTGCTTCAGATGAAATAACATCTCATGAATCGACAAACAGTTTCCATAGTACAACAGTGCAAAATAATGTCGCAAATTTAAATAATCTAACATCTTTAGCATCTTCTGAAGAAGTGACTGCCCCCACAACCGAAACTACATCTCAAAAAACAATAGCAAATATGAATGATACTTCTGAAATCGACACTAATTTAACTGACTGTGCAACGTCTTCTACATTGCTTACCGAAACTACTAATGGCACAATGGCACCTTCAGTCGAAGTTACAACACATGAATCATTAAACAACATCGATGGTATAACAATAGGAAATAACGTCACAAATTTAACTGATCTTACAACTTCTACTGCATCTTCCAAAGATGTAACTGCTCTCTCAGTCGAAACAACATCTTACGATACAGTAACAAATCTAAATGATACTTCTGACATCGACACAAATTTAAATGACAGTGCTGCAACTACAATTTCAACTTTTCTGACTGCATCTTCTGATGATACAACTGTTCCCTCAGTTAAAATAACATCTCATGAGTCGACAAACAGTTTTGATATTACAACAGTGCAAAATAATGTCACAAATTTAAATGATCTATTAAGATCTTCAGCATCTTCCGAAGAAGTGACTGCCCCCACAACCGAAACTACATCTCAAAAAACAATAGCAAATATGAATGAAACTTCTGAAATCGACACTAATTTAACTGACAGTGCAACGTCTTCTACATTGCTTACCGAAACTACTAATGGCACAATGGCACCTTCAGTCGAAGTTACAACACATGAATCATTAAACAACATCGATGGTATAACAATAGGAAATAACGTCACAAATTTAACTGATCTTACAACTTCTACTGCATCTTCCAAAGATGTTACTGCTCTCTCAGTCGGAACAACATCTTACGATACAGTAACAAATCTAAATGATACTTCTGACATCGACACAAATTTAAATGACAGTGCTGCAACTACAATTTCAACTTTTCTGACTGCATCTTGTGATGATACAACTGTTCCCTCAGTTAAAATAACATCTCATGAGTCGACAAACAGTTTTGATATTACAACAGTGCAAAATAATGTCACAAATTTAAATGATCTATTAAGATCTCCAGCATCTTCTGAAGAAGTAACTGCCACCACAGTCAAAACAGCCTCTCGAGATACAATAGCAGAACTGAATGACACTTCTGAAATCGTCACAAATGTAACTGACATCGCTACGTCTTCTGCATTACTTACTGAATCTTATAATGACACAATGGCACCTTCAGTCGAAGTTACAACTCATGAATCAATAAACAATATCGATGGTACAACAGAACGAAATAACGAAGTTCCTGTTTTGTCCTCAGAAGTTCATTTTCAATTAGACTATAAAGAAAGCATAAATGCTAAAACATTAAGTGGCTTAGAGGTTAGTATTTTACTGAATATTATCTTTTATTAACTAATAACATTTTTGCTTTTAATAATTTCAATTTTGAATTTTTAAATTTTAAATCAACTTTATTTTTAAGCCCTGTACCATGCCAGTAGTCGGCAGTGTGTACAATGTTGTAACTTTGTATAATGCCAGTACTGAAAATTTGTACTCTGCTGAAATTTTCTATTCAAAAAAGTTAATTGCTTATAAATATGAAATATTTCTATGGCACTATAATATGTCAGTTACGTTACTGATGATTTGTGTTAAGCATTTGAAAATATGCAATATTTTTCAAAATACTTTTTATTGCAGAATTCAGTTTGGAAAAATATGAAAGCGTCTCTGTCAATGGTTATGTCCACTATGACTATGATTAACGGTGTTTCTCAAATGAAGGAGATCGTCAAGAAAGGAAAAAATAAATTATCATTCTCTGCTTGTAATTAATAATAAATAAGAACAATATGAAAAAGGAACAATACAGTGGACTCCGCTTATAACAAACTTCAAGAGACCGTTGAAATTTTTTCGTTATAGCTGAAGTTCGCTATAAACGAAGTTAATTAACATACACGTTTAATTAAGGGGTAACACTACCCTAGAGTCAGAAAAAGAGACCTATATCTTTGTTGATTTGTTTTGAGAAAATGGAAACTAGAATAGGATTTCTTTTTGGAGGGTTTATTAAATACATATTGAAAAGTAGAAAAAAAATGTTTTTAAAAATTTTATAACAAAATGGCGGCGATAAATTGCATAGAAAAAATCGACTATTTTTTTCTTTACCAAAACGGCCGGAAAGGTTTCTTGAAAAGTTTAAGTCCTGGAACAGAAAACAAAGAAATTTTATAATCTATATAATATAAACTTGAAAAGTACATAGGAGTTTTTTTTATATCAATTTTTGTAGAAATGGTGCTCTTTTTAGTAAAATAATCAATTTTTCGACAAAAAATAAAAAGTAAATTGTTTATAAAAATTAAAGTTTACATCCAATCAAAAAAATCTTATGTACTCCAAAAAGAAATCCTATTCTACTTTTCATTTTCTCAAAACAAATCATCAAAGATATAGGTCTCTTTTTCTAGATTCCATAGAAATTATAAAAAATAATTATTATATTAGAAAAATTTATAATACATACGATTTCATAGTGCGAAATTTATTGTAATTTATATTTATAATACTTAGAAAATCTATAAAATAAAATTTTGACTATAAGTAAATTATAACAAATATCAATTCTCAATATTATAATAATGTCAATATCAAATTATAGACACCTAAATTTCGAGTAAATGATGATTATGAAGTTAAAAATTCGGATATATGACAATTATAAATATAATAATTTGGCTGAAATCATGCGCCCCCAGTTTTACAGAGAATGCCCTATATATATAATGTATATGTTTTTTATTTTTATGTTTTGCTTCCTCATAAGGAAGCTTTGCATTCGTGACGATTTTCAATTTTTCAAAAGAAGGTTATATGGACTCATTTTCATCTATAACATATGTATATTCAATTCTGAGCAAATGTCCAGATGTATGTGTGTATGTGTGTATGTGTGTATGTGTGTATGTGTGTGTATGTCACAAAAATTGTGTACAAATTATCTCAAAAAAATTTTGATGGATTGTCTTGAAATTTTGCAGGTTTATTGCAGTCATTAATACCTAAAATCTGACACAAGGATTTTCAAAAATATCTAAAAAAAAAATTTTATACAATTTATTTAAAATTCAAAAAAAAATTTTTTTTGTATTTTTGTAAATAATTTTTTTATTTGTTAATATTTTCATTAATTTTTCTCAAAATTACATTCCTGACAAGAAAACGAATCGATTGATGTATACAAAGTATATATTTTATCAAAATTTATCAAATTAATAAATATTTTTCTTTTTAAAAAAAAATTCAAATTTTGTATTTTTTTCATAATTTATTTAATATTAATATTAATATTTTGAAATGATTATTCTATCATAAAAAAAAAGCAATTGGCAAATGAAAGTGTAAATTTCATTAAATATTTATATAACAACTTATAAATTATAAACGATTTATATAATTTTATTTTTAACAAATCTTCTGGACGAACCCTTTTGTACATAGTTTTTCAAAAGTTTGCAAAACCGCAATTTTTATACATTGAGGAAGCTAAATGGTCATGAAATGAACAACTTGTTACTTATTTATATACGTTTATATAAGGGGTAAATTTTCTCAAGTGTACCAATGTCGAAATTGCAAGTTGTTAGATCGGGCTAATATTTTCACAGTATTTAGTAGGTACTATGAATGAGTCCTTCAACCACAAAGTATTATGAAATTTTATAAAAAATTGTAGAGGGGTGAGGGGGTTGAAGATTTTGAATAAGTATGAACAGTGAGTTTTCTAGAAAGAATGACGCTTTTTTTGTTTTCGAATTATTAATTAATTAATTAATAAAAAAAACCGGACAAGTGCGAGTTAAACTCGTACTAAATCGTAAAAAATTTCAAGTTTTTCGCTAAAAAAATGTAAAGATAAAATATTTCCATAATTTCTATTTCTTAAACACTATTTTTTACGAGTTTTTTTTGTTATGTAGAAAAACTTTTATCATCGAGGGGTGGTTACTTGAATTTAGGGTTGTTCTTTAGGGATTTATTATAAATCACTTTAAAAATATATTTAAACTATATACATATACTATATACATACTACTGTTAAGGATGAATTTTGAATACTTTAATTTATTAATCAAAATTCTTATTTTTACAAAAATTAGTTTTAACAATTTGCTAACAAATTAATTAAACACAAAAATTTTAATAAAAATGTCTCAAGGTAAAACGTTATTTGCCCTTCGAAAATAATTTATTTATTTAAAGGTAGTGGGCCCTTTCTTAGATTATTATTGTTCAACAATCCCGGATTGACGGTATTTGTATTTAAATGAAAGGAATAAAGTAAAAAAGACAGGTGTAAAAAAGTTAATTGTAATAAAACACTACCCCAAGTAGAAATGTCCGGAGTTAGGACGGAGTTAAACACCGGCATGGTACTGTCTCAGTACTGACCGTCGGTACTGACTCTCGGAACCCGATTAGTACTGGGAGTATACTGACTCCAAAACCGAATCAGTAATACGTCGGAGTTAAAAAAGTATTAAAATCAGTAATGGCAGAAAACTGGCATAACACCAAATCAGTACTGCGAAGGAGTTAAAAAACAAACAAAATTTTTTATAATGGCATTAAACCGGCCACTATTAATAACAACATCGTTTGATTTATTAACTATTAAAATATTTTCCAAGATTTTTAAAAACATTATTCATCAACAATAACATCAAACACTTAATTAATATAAATTTAAATAATTATAAACAATAATAATAATAATTTAGTAATTAATTAAAATAAATAAGATAGTATAAATTAATGAAAAAAAAAAATTTTTTTTTTAAACTTATTTCAATAAAAGCAATTTTGCTAATTATTTACATTTTTATTGTTACTCATAAAAGTTTATTTACTACAGAAATATTAATAATAATTATTAGTATTCAATAAATTACTCCCTTTTCTCTAATAATCAAATAACAAATTAATATAAGCTTCTAAAGGTAAATTTTGTTTTAGAGAACGCGTTACAGCATTTTCCAAATTTGTTAAATTTTACCTGCGAATCAGTAATTAGGCGGTGTTCTGCCAGTGATATTTTAATACTGACTTAGTACTAACTGCCGGTAAAAAATCAGTACTGGACAGCGTTACCAGCCAGGGATTTCCCAGTACTGATTTAGTACTGGAGTCAGTACTGCTACACTGGCAGTCAGTACTGGGTCAGTACTATGCCAGTATTACATTTCTACTTGGGACAATGTGTGTGTAATGTGATTCTCACAATTTATTCAACTTTAAATTCTCCAAGATTAGAAATAATAATGTGTATCCTATATTTCTACATATATTGACAATTATAGTTATTCCAAATAATTAGCTATAACTCTTCAGCAATAGTTTTTGCACATTTTATATTTAGTTAATATAAACAGAAAAAGGTTTTTTAGAATTTATTGAATTCATGTAAAATAGTATTGTGTATGACTCTCAATGTGTGTGTCAATAATAGTATAGTTATTTGACAATTTTACTCACCAATAAAAATAACATATTTTCTATATTGCTTTTACCCTTAGACTTCTGTGTTTTCCTCAAATAATCCAAGTTATGTCACTTCAAAAATGTCACTATTGTCATCAAAATTGCTTATCGCTTATTTTCTCTAATTTCTTTATAAAGAGTCTTCTTTGATTTGTTCCAACAATAATAAATTAATAATTTCAAATCAACTTACAATATTCAAACTACAGGGTCACTGCATTTAAATATTTGGTTGATGATATTATTTAATCAATCGATTTTAAGTGCATTAGACGGTGGTTGATATTTTTAATATCAATGAGACTTTAATTATTTTAATTTATTTTATTTAATTCAAACTATTTCTTTACTATTTTATTACTACTCAAATCACTTTCTTTTACAAAACTTCAATTCAATATTTAAATCAACTTTTTTTTATTATAAATATTTCACTTCACAATTTATGTCGTATAAATTCACTATAATTATTAAATTAACAAAAATGAACCCTTCTTTTGGGGATAAAATATAAACCTCCGACTTTGCGGGAAATACAAAATATAAAGTCTACCAATTTTCGGTACAAACAATATATTACGCAGCCTTACTGCGGGAGGAACAAATTCAGACTCAATCGTTTAATCGATCGAAGTTATGGATCACACCCCGAAATTACATTAAAATGTTAATAGTGGGGAGACTGTTACACACAGTTCATTAAACTTCTTTGTTGCCAGGCAAGCTTTTCGCAAGCTTGCAAATTCCTAAAGTTGGCTAACACGAGTTCAATGCTCTAAATCCACTATACTTTTAATGTGTATGTTTCTATTCTTGATATTTAAAACAATACATTTAGAGTCTTAAACTGGAAAATAACTCTTTTGAAATATGGGTGTTGTCCATACTTCTTAGCGATTCTTAATTTTAATAAAATAAAATGAAATTTAATATTGTTGGCGCAAAATAAAATATATCCAAATTACTATTTAGGTAAAATTAAGGATAACAAATAGTAAATTTGTTACTTTTAAATGATAGATAGTTTAAATTGTCTTTGTGTGAATGATTTGTATGTTATAGTGTACTTAAATCTAATTACAAAATTCCCAATTTTTTTAATGAAGTTATATAATATAAGAATTTTTAATTTATTACAAAAAATTAAAAATAGTTACGAAGTCATACGTAACACATACTATATAACTATATAATATATTTAAATATATACATAAACATGTATACAGACATAGAGAATTAATTTTTTAAATCTAATAAAAATTCTTAATTTATACACCAATAATATTAAGATCATAGTTTAATATGCATAAAAAGAACATTTTACCCTACTGTATTAAAAAATAATTAATTATTTATTTACAAAAAATAAAGACTAAAATGAAATAAGCATGAAGGGGAATAAACAATACGAATGGTTTGTATGTTATAAATTGGCGCGAATTGTGTTGCGCAAGCTCAAAACTGGGTAAAGCTGTATTCTGTAGCGACGACGAGGGGAGTTTCGATCGACTTTTTTCGGGGATTGGCGAGATATGAAGTGCCAAGGAAAGGGTTACTTTGTGTCTCGTTGCTGCTGCACGCGACAATTTTTTTTCGATAAACCCTCGTTTTATGACAGAAAAAAACTTCCACGGCTGTTCTCAGCAACGACCCGTGTCATCGCGATACAGTGTCATGCACCTCGTTGACAATTTCCGGCCACGTCCAAGTGGGGTATCTCGAAAAAAACTTGAATATAACGATCATCTTAACAGCAACACGAGGAGCTGCTGCTCCAGTATTTCAGCACGGATTTTAAAAAAGGCTTCTTTTTTTTAAAGAGTGACCCCTTCCCTCTTCCTCGCAGTTCTCTTTAAATTGTTCTGATTTAAAAACAATTCATTAAAATTAATTTAACTGAACAGTTTTTACCGATTATCGAAATTATTAAATACCACATAATATTTTTTTCTAACATAACTTTGAATAACATTCATAAAAATAAAAAGATTTTTTTAATTTAAAAAAATTTAAGGGGTCTAATATAATCAAGTGTAAAAATAAATTATAATAATAATAATAAAATAATAAAAAGTATAAGATTAAAAAAAGTTTAACTACAAAATTGAAAAAACATTTACATTTATTAATAATTATATGAAATTTTTTACTATGAATTAAAATAATTGTGAAAAATATTGTCAATATAAAAAAAAGGAATTGAAAAAATGAGCGTCCGCACAATCAACTACTTAATAAATTTAAAGAAAAAAATTCTTATTCAAGTATAATTTATGATAAAAAGCGAATATTCTAAAACATGGACAATTAAATTTTTAGATAGATAATCGGCAATAAAGACAATTTTAAATTTTCTATTATAAGTAAAATTAAAAGTGTACTTAGAAAGGAGTGAAAAAATTTTACTTTTTAAGTGCGACAAATACAGAATCTACTGCCAAAGACCTGATTTTCGTTTTCATCATTGCTACCAAAACAGTTGGAGCATGGAGGAGAAAAAGCCTCCAACCTCAAAGACAATGTCGTAAGTATTTTGTATTTGTTTTTAAACAAAAAAAGTTTTTAATATTTTTCCCACAAAGGAAAATATTATGTCAGATCTTTAGAAACTTTTAGATGATTTTGTTGCGTTGTTGATGCTCGTTTTGGTCGTTCTTAAAATTTTAGAATATAATATAAATTTAGCACGAAAGTTGTCTGAATATTGAAAAAATAATATTAAAAATATAAGTAAAATATTAACTGCAAATACAAGGGCTTTTAAAATTATAAACATGAATATATAAAGTACAAATTAAATTAATATTGCATAGAATTATAAATAGAAGACATTAATAAATAACATTTATAAATATATATACCTATATGTATATTATTTAATATTTAATTTAATACAAAAATTTAAAGTTGGTAAACTTTTGTTAACTTCTTAACCTCACTTACTGCATCTTTTACTGTTTATGAAGAAATAGCTTTAAATTTCTTTTTTCACTAAATTATTAATTTTCACTAGGTACAAATATAGATAAAAATTAAATATTTTATAATTTTATTACTCTCCACTTTACAAATACTCAAATATTAACAACATCTACTACTTATCAATGTTAAATATGAAATAGAATAAATAATTATCAATAAATTTATGTATAATTTTTTTCTCTCAGTAATAATATTTAAAATTTTAATGTCATATCTTAATTTATTCTTACAAGCTAGTACTTTAAAAGTTCAAAAAAAATTTAAACTCAACGTTTAATATGAATTAAATACAATTTTAACGTTTATTTTCAATACCTCCTTGATGGGCACTAACGTTTCAGGAATAGTTTGGTAAAACTTTCTTCACTTGCATAAACTGTTAGTTTTCAGGAATAGTTTGGTAAAATTTCATTGACTTGCCTAAAGTGTTAGTTTTCTGGATTGAAATACATTATTTTATGGGTCCTGCAGTCAAATAAAAGACTTTCACACTAATAGTTGATTTTTTTAACTTATTCATACTTAATTTATTATCATTTTATTATTAATTATATTAAAATTTAATTAGTTAATTATTTTAAACTCTTATTAATTGTCAAATATGTAATAAATGCTTTTAAATCATACAAAAAGAAAATATAAAATAGCAATAACATACTTATTTTTTTAACATAATTTATTAATTTTAATTAAATCTGATTATTAGTAAGTAAGTAAGCAAACAAGCAAGTAAGTAAGCAAGAAAGAAATAAATAAGTAAGCAATTAAACATAAGTAAATATGCAAGTAAGTAAGCAAAGGGGTCATTCAAGCATTACGTAAGCATATTTTTGAGGTTTTTAGACCCCCCCTCCCCCATCGTAAGATTTTCTATATGCATTAGCGCCATTTTTTCTAATGAAAGTAAGCAATAGCTAGACCCCTCTCCCCCTTAAATGCATACGTAATACTTGAATGGTCCCAAATAAGTAGGTAAGAAAGTAAGCAAAGAGGAAATAATTTGCTTGCTTACTAGCTTACTTTCTTACCTATACTTATTTACTTACTTACTTCCTTATTTGCTTACTTTGCTTACTTGTTTATTTCCTTTCTGCTTACTTACTTCCATATTTTCTTACTTGCTTACTTGCTTATTTCCTTCTTGCATACTTACTTTATCATTTGCTTACTTTCTTACGTGCTTATTTCCTTCTTGCTTACTTTGCTTACTTGCTTATTACTTACTTCCTTATTTGCGCTTTTTACATTATTTTTCAATGCAATTGATTTTACTGTCTAGTTCTTGAAAAATTACTGTTTTGACAGTTCATCCCAGTTTTACCGAATTAAATTCAGTAAAATTTTAGCAATAAATTTTCTCCGTGTAGTTCATTAAAAATGTTTCAAGAATAACAGTAGAAAATAAAATTTATTTTCCATTTTGTATTAAAAATAAAGAGAAACTTTCGATAAATTAAAAATTTCATTTTATTGTTGGTGATTATTTACTTAGTGAAAATTGCCATTCTTAAGTAAATGACGGTAATTTAATACAAGTTTTTAATTAGGTTTTAATTGGTAATTGCTCAACGAAGATCTCTTTAGGAATGAGTTGCAATGGATCGATAGCCCATTTTGTTCTCAATGTTTTCAATATTGAACGTCATCCTCTTGATAATTGTTTGCGACTACTATTTTACTACACAATCAATATACTCTCGAATATTTTTTTAAGACGAAAAAAAAATAATTTTTTTCTTTAAGGCAAAAATAAATTAGAACAAATCTTTATTTATTTAGTCAATTCTTATTTAGCTGTGTCTTTACACAAGAATTAAGTAATAATTAAAGATCCCGATTGAAAAAGCGATTATAACTTTTTTTAACTAAAAATCATTGTCAAATATGTAAATCAAAAATTTAAAATCATAATTTTTAGTGAAACTTTTTCGTAATCTTTCTAGAAACCGAAATTCTTACAAGAAATAAAATAAAATATAATCTTTTGGAGCAGTCAGCAGACATAGAATGTATTTTAAGTGTCCTTTTAATGACTCCGAGATGTCCCCGGATGTCCACGGACAAAATAGGACGTTTAAGGCGTCTTTAAAATAAATTTTTTAATTGTATTATTATCAGGAATGTCATTTGTTGTACGAATATTATTTATTTCAGTTTCTTATGTAACATCATCTTCATGATAATAATTTTGTAAAACTTTTACTACTTGATGACTGTTTCTGAGTAATATCATCCTCGGATTTTTATATTGCAAATGTCCTAGATTTTATATTTTTTATTTACAGATGAATTTTAGAGAGGATAAAGAATTCTTTTTGAGCTGTGGCTCTTTCAAGACAGTCTACACAGAAAGATTTGATATGACCTCATTTGAAAAATTCGAATGTAAAGAATACTATCTGTTACTTAATATTTTTTAAGTTTTGAATATTTCTCCAAAATTTATCATTTTTTAAACTACACTATAGAAACATGTATGTATCACGGTGCGTCTAGTAAAAATTAAATGAAAAATAATATTACCTCAAATTTTTTTGTTGATTCTGTATCCTAGCCCTATATAGACATATCTTATGAAGAAACGAAAATTGTAAGTTTAGCGCTTTCTTTTTAACGACGTCAATTACATTTTTTGATAATTTTTACATTTTTCAACATATTTTATATCATTTTAAACATAATTATATAATTGCGTAAAAACTTAAAAGTAAATATAGATCCAAAAGATTGATGTATTCCACATTCAGCGTATGCTTTGTTATTGTTTAGTATCGGTTAGCCCCGCTAACATTGATTTGACAACAACGAAACAATAATTTAATATAACATGTACACAATTACACTCTTGAAAAAGCGTGGTTATAAGTGAAGAGTATTGTAAACTAGAGTAGCCCTTAAAAGTTTAAAACTGCTGCCAAGTTGTATATTTTTTTATAATTTTGGTGCTCATTTCATGAACACTTTGCTTCCTCATAGAGGTAATAATAACAGAAATATATGAATAACTTTTCATAAATCTGGTAAAAGTGATTGAATTTTGGGTCAATAAATGTATTTTTAAATACCCTACAAGATAGTTATAATAGTTTAATAGTTAAACAAAAATTTTCAAACAAAAAGGTTGAGAAGATGTCTTTTTCCACAATTTTTGATTTTTAAAATACCAATAATTTTATAATTTCTGCCCGAATCAGGTTCAAAAATAGGTCAATCGAAGCGTTTTTTAGTGCTCTTCAAGTTGGTAATAATTTTTTGAAGTTACTTTTACATAATTTTAAAAAATTTTTATAAAAGTCTTATTTTTCAAAATTTTAGATTTTTAAAAGTTTAATATCTCCGGTTAATATGGACCAAAAATGTTCAATTAGGGCTCAAAAGATGCGTCTGAAAAAACTCTACAAAACTAAAGAAAAAGATTTATAAGTGTCCTAACATTTTTTCAAGTTATGTCCAAAAAACGTTTTTTTACAAAATGAAACACACACACATCGGGACAAATTTTTAAAATCCGTTTTTTGGACTTCGGAGGTCAAAATACGTCGAAATTTTTTTTTATTTATTTAGAACATTTATACGGGGAGTTCCTGTGCATATATAAAGTACTAAAGTATTAGGCATAATAAAAAAAATTTATAAATATGTCAAAAAATGCCAATCCAAAATTTTGCTAATACAAAGCTTCCTTTATGAGGAAGCAATATGTTGAAAAATGTAATTGACGTCGTTAAAAAGAGCGCTAAATTTACAATTTTCGTTTCTTCATAAGATATGTCTATATAGGGCTAGGATACAGAATCAACAAAAAAATTTGAGGTAATATCATTTTTCATTTAATTTTGACTAGACGCACCGTGGTGCGTACAATACAAATAACCTTTGAAATCAAGTTCAAATAAATGATATTATTTGTAGAAGCACACCAAAAAGTTGAATACATAATAAATATATTATTATTCAAATCGTTTTACCAATTTTACAAACATTTCAATATTTAATAATGTAAAAAACTGGATAAAATATTCTTCGAATTTTAATAAATTATGGAAACAAATTGAACATGTATCGTTTAAAAATAAAAGGTTTTTACGTGTGGAGTGTCTATTGTTTTGTTCACTAGAGAGCAATGCATAAAAGTAGAGAGTATAAAGAGAAGGAGAAACGATTTTGAACAGGTGATTATCTCTCCTCTTGTATGGAAAATCTCACAATTGACCCATATTTTGAAAACCTACTTCATTTCCTTAAAAAGACTTAAAGCTCAGTCTCTTATACAGTATGTTCATGGAGGGGATAAATTTAAGAGTGGGAGAATTTACAGAAACTTCTACTCTGAATGTCTGCTATTTTCTTATTACATGTCAGTTGATACGCGAAATTCAAATAATTCATATTTAACCCTAACTGCATTAACATCGGAAACTTCTATCAAAAATTTAATATTTTGTAATTCAAATAATATAAGGCAGTATTACCATTTATAAATGAATATTATTTCTTTTAAATGTCGAAAGTGTAAAACATTACAAAACCATAATTGCTGAAACACTTTGAATTAAAAATGTCTTGTAAATTATGAAAATAATTCGAAACTGCACTGAACATTCTTTCACTAGCGGTTATGAAATTTATTAAACAGTATTTTTATTTAAAATTACAAATATTTAAAAATCGTATGTTCGAGTCTAATATCTAATCCTTAAAATAATAACTAGTCCTCCACCTTCAATAAAGTGGTAAAGGTCTAATTTTATTTTGTGTATTAATAAGAATCTATAACAATAAAATTTTCTTCAAGTTTTAAGCTTATTCAAAAATCATATTTATGTCAGTTCGCCAGTAGGCAGGGAAACATAAAGTGTCTTTGGGACAACATTAGGACGTTTATGTCGATTCAAGGAATGTTCCAAAGACATCTTATGTTCAAAAAACGTCTGTTCCAACAACGATTATTTTATTTTATAAAAATTATGGTAATTAATAATTATTTTTTCTTATACCTAGAATTGGATTTAGACTACCTGGAAAGGGGAGGTGACATATGGCGATTGGAGGTAACTGACAGTACATCTAGAGAAGAAGAAAATTCTTCTGACAGTCTGGAACAAGTTAAAATAATATTTTTAGGCGCTCCTGGAGTCGGAAAATCTAGTATTGTCAAGGTAAGAAATTTAAAGCGTTTATAAAGAAAAAAATCAAAAATATGTTTTTTAATTTGGTGATATTTGTAATATTGATAATTTCTGTAAAAAAGTTAACTTTTACTTTTGTTGATGTGAACAAACAGTTATTTAACAAGGACGTAATGATCATATAACTGTTGTGTCAGTAGGTAATTTTAGTAAAAGAAATATCATTTTGATTTGATTTTATTCCGCCTACAGCAATTCGTTTGGAGTGAATTTAACCAAGATTATAGACCGACGGAAAAAAAAGAAACTTATTATCAGAGTGTGGTTCTAGCTGATAGACTTTATGAAATAAAAATCACCGATATTCCAACTATTCCATATTTCCCCATTAACACACAATTGGAATGGACCGATTTTCGATATTATGGACTCAGAAGCGCTACTGCCTACGTACTTGTCTTTGATCTTAATAATCAAGATACATTTCAGGTATAATTTATTTATTAATCCCTTACTACCTATAAAAAAATCTCTTAAAATTTTATCTCCCTTTTCCTCAATAAACAAAAATAATAAACAAAATATGTACAGAAACTGCATCAGTTTCTAATATATAATACTATCAATTGTAAACATAAATTGGAGTAAACACTTTGACAGATTAATTTTAATAATTCACAATATATGATATGATATTCGTGAGTATAATTTGTTTGACGCCACCTGCGATGATCTAATTTAACAATTTCAGAGTTCTCTTAAAGTTTACCTTGTTTCTCGATATTCAATTTGAGATGTTAGATGGGAAAATTCAATTTGGTAACTAATTGAGAGACTAGCAGAAATAGAAACACTGAAACTTAACTTCCCACATAGTATAACGTTTCTCAGAAAGTTTATAGTAAATTTGCAATGTAAAGTTCAAAAAGTACATATATATATAACTGTCACAACTTGTTAGATATTTATAAAAAAATAGCATCATCTTTTTAACTCGTATACCTCACGCTGTTTCGATTACGTTAACATTATAATGTTTTAGGAACAAATTATTGTAATTTATTAGCTTTACTATAATCTAACTATATAATTATCTTTAATTTTCTCTCGAATTATTAATTGTTTCTTATCATAATCGATTTTGTATTTTAATACATATCTCATTTTATTCATGCATGACATTTGTAAAAATAACAATTTGAAAAATATTTGTTACAATTAAATAAAATTATATGATATATTTTGTTGTTTAGTATATAAGGATGTTACGAGAACAAATTTATGAAGCACGAGATATGAGAGGAGTGCCTTTATTGGTAGTTGGTAACAAACAAGATAAACTTACGGCTCCTGCAGCTCCAGGAACAAGACATAGGGATATTGTTAATCTTGTTCGCAAACACTGGAGATGCGGTTACGTCGAGTGCAGTGCAAAATACAATTGTCGAATAATTCAGGTATTTTTATTAGTAAAATAAGATTAAATACCTATTTGAATAATTTGTTGTCTATAATGAAATAATAAAAGATGGGACGCTTCACGCCAATCGACCCAGAGCTCATTTTAAAATTCTAATCAACAGAAATCAACTTACTACGGCTCTAAATAATCGCCAGCGCATACTCTTTTGAATAAAAATGACGAATTCAGAAATTCAAAATGGCGTCCTTGCTGCACCACTTTTTTCAAATTTTTGTAGTAACCTAGCTAACAAAATTAGTAATTAGCTTCAGAAAATTACCTTTTTCGATGTATTATACTATTTTCTTATTTTATTTACAATTTTTCTTCTTCTGAAGGACTGACTTTGATAATATTATTATTTAGTAATAATATTAATAGTTTTTTATAACTAACAACCATCTGTTGCTAACAGTTCACTTTTTATAATAAAATTAATATTAACTATACTTAAAATTATCCTTAGTGATTTCCAATGTATAAGGATCTCCAATGGGAAAATTTACTGATATTGACTTTACTTCTCTGCAGTAAAAAAATCGACAGGCACGCGAAAAGTAATAGCCTCATGTTCTCTGATAACAGCGCCGCCAAACGGGAGAAATAAGTGCAATTTTACATTTTAAGTATTTTTATCTTTGACAGCTGATTGATATTTAAGGTTAGAGGATCCTCTGAGTGTTGTATAATTGTAAAATAGATGAACAGAATTAAATTGTTTTATACGTTATATAAATAGGAAGGACTTTAAATAAACAACCAAAAATTCTTTGCATTAAATTCATAAATGTCTGTTGGTAAAAGTATAAAAACTTTTACCCTTACAAAATAGTATATTAAATAAACTTATCATTCTCGGTGCTTTGAAAAAACACTTTTTTCAGAAGTATTTTTATTTGCTTTATAACTAGACATGCAATTTTTTATAAAACAATTCATATTACTATTATTTTATTGTTATTATCAACTTGGTACATAACCAAAAAACTACGTAAACAAAACTTTTATCATGGACAGCATGGAGGGTATATATTTTCTCCTGCAGGGGCGCTAATATCAGTGAACAAATTTCCGGTATGCCAATTTTCGTGCATGGCGATTTTACGCAGTCAAGTACAGTCAAAAGGGATACATACACGGAAAAACCTTTAAGCAGTCTGCTCACCCGAAACTTATGCGTCAGCGCCACCACTAAACTTGTTCATCTGCACTCCCAAACTGGGTGACCAACGTACCTAGTTGTAATTTTCTAAACTTTTTGGGAAGTTTGTCTATCGAAAACGGTAATGCTACGCACACAGTGGCGGGCGATCAGACTTTCCATGCAGTGAGAAGCGAAATTTTGTGACAGTGGGAAGGCAGACTTCTCAAAGGTTTTTCCGTGTATACATACTTCTCCTTATACTCCTTCATGATTTACAACTTACTACACAATACAAAAATAATAACCAAGTTACATTACAAGTTATTTTACAAAAAAGTAGCTACCTAACACGACTGCCAATTAAAACCACTGACTAATTAATGACGTAATTAAGATTTATTAACTTATTATTGTAATTATTTTGTTATTTATAGGTTTTCAGGGAAATAATGAAAAGTATTCAGGCCGTGGAGGGGAAGCCACCGTCACCAACACCGACAGCTTCTCAAACAATGAGAGCCAATCAACAAAACGTTCATGATAAATGCGTTATTCTTTGACAATAAAACCAATGTTTCTTTATTTGAAGAAAGACATTTTATGACTGTGACAAAAAAATGCTTTTAAAATGTTTGAGTTTTCTTTTGCTATGTCCAATGAAAACTAATTTTATTATATTATAATCATTCTGTAACCGTTTTTATGTCTTTTTTCAATTGCTTTTTTTATTATTAGTATTACTATTGTTATTATTGTTATTATTATTAATATTATTAGTAACAACGTGAAATTACAAATCCCACAAATAGAAATTTTCTATTAATGAACTATCAATAAGGGACATTTTTCAAAAATAAAATTTTTTTCCTAAATTTTTATTACTTAGGGTACAATCTCATGTTTGCAGAAAGCGTAAAATAAATAGAAAAATTTCACGAGAGTAGAAAGGATAGATCCTGACTGCCCCTAACACCTTAATACTTGTACGATCGTAAAAGATTCTTCAGTATTAGTAATTAATTTTTATTCTCATTTTTGAAACTATCTATAAAAATTAAGAAAATGAATTATATAAATTATCTGCTAAAAAATTAAATTTTTATTTGTGAATGACAATTTGTACAAAAAATAAAAAAAATCTTGCACAAAGCTCCATTTTCGATTAGACAAAAACAAAAATAATATTAATAATTATAATAATATAAGAAAAAGTTTTTATTATAAGATATTAAATCGATAATATACATACATTATACATAATTGAGAAAGTAATTATTGTTAAATAATTCAAAAATTATTTGACAATTTGCTTTGTTATAAACTGTTGCTACTCTCTAAGCTGTTAGAAATGTTAAAGTAGTCGTTTTGTAAAAATTTCTATGAAACTAATGACAATTTCGATATATTAATGAATCTCTGGCCTGTAATGTTATTTTGGCAATATATCCCGTTTAGAAATTTTGACTAGGCCCTGTTATAGCAATTTCAGCACCGGATGAATAGAAAAAATGTATCATTGTGAAAGTTCGACAAATTCATTCAATAATGTTAGAAGAATTGATAAAGTGTCATCATTGATTTACTTATAATTAATTTTTCTTTTAAGATATCTTTTATGTACATTTATTTTTTATTGCATAGGGAAGATCAGGGCGTATACTGGGCCACTTTTCACTTTTTGTTATATTAAAGAAGCAATAACAACAAATTGAAAATTATAAAACTTACTTTGAAGCATAAATTTAGTTTATTCATATTATTTTTCACAATAATAAATAAATTACAAACTTGGAGGAAATTAAGTACAGTAATTTAAAAATAAAGCGTAATTACTTAAACTTATTGCATTTAAATACATTAAAATAATCTATTGCGCCCCGGTCTCCCCTACATTTCAATATTATTTATAAATTTTTGGACAATCGTTTATTATTTTTCAATTTTACACCTTAATTTTCTATAGTTGCTTACCTATATTTTCTTTCTTTATATTTATATAAATATCAAATTTATTTTAAACTAAACAATAATTTTTATAAAAGGCCAAAGTTATCATAAAAGCAAAGAGATAAAATTTAGCTCAACAAACAAATTGTAAATTTCTCTATTAGAATTTAAAAAGTTTATATAAAGTTACGATTGCGGACAATTATAATTTAAGCGATATTTATGGTTCTAATGACAAATTTTTTATTTATTTAATTAAATTATAATAAGTTGCTTCTGTAGGTTTGAATGCTCAAATCTACTGCCTCAATAGAGATGCTCAAATATGTCCCTGCTTAAAAAGCCTTCAACTTTCTTACGAATAAAAGTTGTGGATCTTAAAAACTGCACATTTTATGTCTTATACATTTTTCACCATGAACGATTATTTTTCAAGAAAAATGTAAAATCTTTTAAACAACTATATAAAGTCGACAAATGAGTGTAAAAACATTTAGATTTGGATTTAGTAATTTGTTAAACATGCAATTAATGCATTTTAATGCTCTTATTATGAAAATAGTATATTGAGCTTCAAGACCTTACTACTCTTGATATCATGCCACTGATGGTGAAAGAAAAAAAAATGATGTTTCATTTTTTTTGTTACTCTCAACAAGAATCAAACCTTCCGAATAACGCATTATTAAAAATAATTTTATTTTTTTCTGTGATTTTTTATTATTTATTATTATTTCTTTTATAAAAAGATAATTAAATTATTTTATTGTTGATAAACTATGGGGCTCTCATATAAAGCACCAAATACAACTGACAGAATCAACTTTGACTTTACTACTTGTAATATAAGTTTTCTTGTGGAAATTATCTGGCTTTTTAAGCAGAGTGGTGATCGTGTTTATTCCATTGCTGCTTTTTTTAAATCAATTATTGCATTCATTTTTTTAACATAAGCATTTATTTTAGAATTCATTGAGAAAAATAAATACTTAATTTCAAACTCTTGAAAAACAAACCTAATAACTCTATCATGATCAAGAGTCTCTGAAATTCTTTACGGTTTTGTGAAACCTAAACTTATCACCCATAAAGTAGTATAAGAAGATTCAACTGTCTAGACAATGTCTAGAAAAGTCAAAGTTGTCGCGTCCCTATTGAAAATCCCCATATGGGAAACCACATGGGAAACCACATGGGATCCTATCTCAAAAACCATGTAAAACTCTACTTCCATGAAGGAAACCACGTGGTTTACCATGTGGTTTCCCATGTCAAACCATATGGGAAATTGAGACAGGATTTTAGTTAGGAATAGACATGGGGAATTTGAACAGTTCATATCTATGCATAAAACCATATCAAATTCCACATGTTTTTCCCAGTCAAATCCTAAACCGAATCCCATGTGAAAAACAGTATCATTTATTTATAATTATTTTCCCAAGTCAATCCCCAAGTGAAAAACAGTATCATTTATTTATAATGATTTTCCCATGTCAAATCCTAAACCAAATACCATGTGAAAAACATTATCCGCCTTATTGAATATCCCTACATGAGAATCCACTTGGAATTTTACAAGGGATTTCACATATGATTTTATATGGGAATTGACATAGGATTTCATGCAAGATTTCACCTAGGATTTAATGAGATATCACATAGTATTTTATTACAGCTCCAATGAAGAAATTTTCAAAGGATTAAAAATTATTTAATAAAAAATTAAATAATAAATAGTATTAGTGTTACAAGTCATCAAAAAAGTAAAAAAACGATCATTTGAAACACGTCCTCTCTGCTACAGGTTCTCAGCTTTTATATACTTCCAGAATCGTCTCAACAGCGAGAGAAGTCACTTTCGCCACCTAGCGGTGAAAGTATAGGAATTAAGTATCATTACTAAGGAAACCATGTGGAATACCACGTAGGATTCCATGTGGTTTCCTACGTGGGGATTTACATGGGATTTTACTTAGGAATTCATTTGGGAATTTATTTCTACTTAAATTCCTAAGTAAAATCCCATGTAAATCCCCACGTAGGAAACCACATGGAATCCTACGTGGTATTCCACATGGTTTCCTTAGTAATGTTAAAGATTACTGTCGCTCCTATACTTTCACCGCTAGGTGGCGAAAGTGACTTCTCTCGCTGTTGAGACGATTCTGGAAGTATATAAAAGCTGAGAACCTGTAGCAGAGAGGACGTGTTTCAAATGATCGTTTTTTACTTTTTTGATGACTTGTAACACTAATACTATTTATTATTTAATTTTTTATTAAATAATTTTTAATCCTTTGAAAATTTCTTCATTGGATCTTTAATAAAATACTATGTGATATCTCATTAAATCCTAGGTGAAATCTTGCATGAAATCCTATGTCAATTCCCATATAAAATCATATGTGAAATCCCTTGTAAAATTCCAAGTGGATTCTCATGTAGGGATATTCAATAAGGCGGATAATGTTTTTCACATGGTATTTGGTTTAGGATTTGACATGGGAAAATAATTATAAATAAATGATACTGTTTTTCACTTGGGGATTGACTTGGGAAAATAATTATAAATAAATGATACTGTTTTTCACATGGGATTCGGTTTAGGATTTGACTGGGAAAAACATGTGGGATTTGATATGGTTTTATGCATAGATGAACTGTTCAAATTCCCCATGTCTATTCCTAACTAAAATCCTGTCTCAATTTCCCATATGGTTTGACATGGGAAACCACATGGTAAACCACGTGGTTTCCTTTATGGAAGTAGGGTTTTACATGGTTTTTGACATAGGATCCCATGTGGTTTCCCATGTGGTTTCCCATATGGGGATTTTCAATAGGGGTATCTCTTAAATCTAACAAAAAGGTGTCGAACCCTAACGAGAAAATTTATGGTACACTCTGATGCTTTAATGCCTTCCTTCTGGTTTTGACAGCGTTTTAAAAAGTCGTGACACATCTATAAAAATGTTGTTAATTCGTGACATATAAGTTCGTTCATACGTCACGAAGTAACTAAATTTTGATATTTTTTTATTACAATAATTCGTTTTTCACATATCACAAATATGTACACCATTATTTCATGATTCAACTGCTCATTTTATATTTGGATATTTGTCCCCAACAGTGGACAATATCACATGCACGCAGAAATTAAATTATATTCATTAATGAACATCTATTTTTAGTTTTCTTTTTTTTTTCTTTTTTTTTTTATTTATTTATTTATTTATTTATTTTTGTTCTTTTCGACTCCATAGTAAAAACTAAATGCCACGTTTAAAAAAGTACTTACTTTATTTTCTTGTAGATTTACTTATTTTTAATTATACAATTCGACGAAAAAATTTAAATAAAGTTATTATTGAGTCATATATTTAAATGATCAATTATTATTTATTACAAAGTATATAAATAATAGAGCAATTGATTCTCGACTAAGTAATTACAATATTTATTTATCAAGATTTAATTAGGCTAAGTATTATTTTAATTTAGAAATTAACCGCTACTGACAATCGTAGTTTCTTCATGTTTTTTATTTTAGCGCATCTTGTATTAAAAAAATATATATTATTTCGAAACATTTTTAAATTTGTAATTTATTTCATCTGCTAATTCATCAATAAAAATCTTTATGAATAAAACTAAGACTTAAATAAAATATAATTTATTTATATGAAACTTGTTTATTGGATTAATTTAATTTAAATCAAAACTCTTTAAATTAAATTAATTAAAAATAGAAATAAAAGACATTCATTTTCCAAAGCATTATTTTTGCAATTAAAAAAATGATAAGAAAACGTAAGCATATTTAATTTCTAAAAACTTATAGATTACAAAGACTCTTCAAGGGATAAAAGATTTTTTATCTCAAGAATGACTTTTTTTGTTTGTTGATCGTCAGACGTGGATTTTTTTTTTTATCAAATACCTGAGGCCACGGCCACCTTTGTGCATCAGTGACCTCTAAAAATTCAGATTAAAGTTGAGAGGTCTTACTGAGATATGAATGTACGTGCAGTATATCTTGCCCATATGACGTATGGTTGCCCACTTACAGAGGACTTTAATTTTAAAACACTTCTTTAAAGTGTTGTATCCACTGATCTACATACAAACTGGATGGCGTACGCCATGCAATGTTAGATCTACTATCTGTAATTATTAGAGCTCCATTTACGTTAACCATGACTGTACTTCGTAAACTTGCTCGGCAATCATCGTGATAAAAATAAAGGAGTAGAATATATCTATTACCACGAATCAAGTAATAAACTGAATAATATAGAATTTTGTACCCTTCACAATTTAGCGGTACAACCGTTTAGCACTGAAACGAATGTTTCCTAACATTTACGAACTACGGTCGTCGAAACATTTTTTTTAGTCTGACATTAAATTTTTTTGCATAAAAAGTCTATAAAGTTAACTTGAAGTAACTAAATGGTCGTCATAGGTTGTAAAGTAGTATGGACTCTAGATCATATAGTGCCCAAGCGTGCTCGCCATGTGTTCCTGAAATAAATGAATAAGTATCCAACTATTGACACTTTTTGTAATTCAATTATTTTGTTTTGTAAAGTTACTAATTCCACACTACTTTTACACTCATTTTACATTTTGTATTTTTATATTGTGATGCCAATCAATATCGTTTTATAAACTATGACGATCTAAAATCCATACAACTCTTGAACCCATTTCGCTTATTTGGGTAGTTGAAGTCAACATTATATACAATGTTTTTATGCAATAAAAATTAATTAAAAATGTCAAACTCGACATTTTTTAAATTTTTCATTTCAATGTTTTTTTATTGCATACGTTACATATAAAATTAATAAACTTATAATTAAGCTTTTAAAAGCTGAAAAAATTCCATTTCTAAAAATTTAATTACGTTAA